AATATAATACATAACGCATGATTGGACTGTATTTTTTTAAAATAAATGAATATGTAAAAAATTGTTTCTGTTTTGTTTGGGCTGGGTGACACGCCAGCAGAGTCAAGTTAGGCATTTTCTGAATTTTTGACACGCCAAGCCCAAATGGTTCACCATCACTGATTTAGGGCCTGGAGGAGAAAAGAGGAAATAGGAGGAGGTTTATAAATATTGTTCAGTTTGAATATGCAAAATGTTAAAAATGTTGAAGTTCTATAGAAACTGAATTGAAGATAATTTATGTGAAATAATTTCTCAATGCATTGTGCTCAGCACTTTATATGTTATTTGTAAATTGCTTCAAAATGGAATAAGTTGCTAACAGTATTGAAATACATAAGGTTATTAGCTAAGTTTGCATTTAATGGAAGAGTCTGTTCCAGGAAAATATTTCAGATATTTTGATTGCAACTATATTTCCATAGAGCAGAAACTTTTAAAATTGTTGTGTTTTGTTCTAATTTGATGCCTCTTTATAGGAAGCAGGAATACAATGGAAAATATGTTTTTCACCATATTTACTACAGTACTTTTCTAAAGTGAGACATTATCCTTGCAGAAGAATACATGTTAATACCTTCTGATGAAAAATAAATCAAAACATGGCTGTCTCTCTCTCTCTCCATCAAGAAATACATTGTTACGTTGAGCTTGCTTGCATGACAATGGATTCCATTGACTTGAGTGGAACCTGTCCCTTATTTCAGAGTAAACATGATCGCTTAGAATAGGACTGCATTTGGGACAATCTGAATCCCATTAAATTGTTTTTGTTTTTACCAAATACAATAGTTTGTACAGGGAAATTGTCCTAGAAATACTTCAGGAATTCAGTCAGTACCTTCTTTATTAGAGCCAGCATTTGATTTTGATTATAAAAGAGACATGCTATAATGGTCAGCTTCAGGCATAAATTGGAACATTTGTGGCCTAAATGTCTGATCTCATTGCACATATAAAGCACACCAAGGTCCATGGATAGTGGCCACTGATAAATTATGATAAATGAAAATTCCAAATTGAAATTAAGTTTCAGTTTGTCATTACCTACAATCCTGCTGTTCCTTGGTAAACTCACATCCAAGTAAAATAATAATTACAGAAGCATGTACATGCACATCATACAGAAGGCAATTTCCACAGGGACGCTGGCACTAAGAACGCTAAGAATTGCAAAACGATCACTATATACCTGAACTAATCAAGACATTCATATTATGCAAATCCATCTTTGAATTATTTGGTTAATATAAATAGTATAACCATTGAAGTAGGAGAAGCTATTAACCAAGTTCAAACTGTCCTGCTCCATTGCTTCCAGATATGTCAGACCATTGCTGTCACAGTATCCAGCAGGTAGAATCATTGACTATGTCATTGACTAGTTGGGAATTCCAGGAGTTGTGGTCGAACATGTTAGAGGGCATCAACTCAGAGAAAGCTTGCCTAGACTCTGATTCTTATTTCTTCTGCTGAATAGATGATTGGAATCTTCTTCTCTTGACAGTTTTAATCACACTCCCCCAGGCTTTGGTGCTGACAGAGCAGATGGCAACAACTGTTGGGTTGTGGTTTGCACATTTTGACAGTAGAATCTTAAGATTCCTAAGAACTATGAAAAAGCAAAACAACTGTTAATTGATTTATTTCAACAAAAGGCATGCTTTTGAATTAAATAGTCCCATAATATTTATTTATTTTATTTTTAGCAGCGGTTAACAGAGAAAGGAGAAGGAATACAGCAGCTGCTGAGGCCCTATTGCCCTGACAAAATGGATTGCACTCTTTGGGTGGTTTTACACCCCCTACTTTATACAAGACTATCTGTAGTGGTGACAGCACTTCCTCCTCTTACCTAGGTTTTGGATCAAATTACATCTGTGCAGATTTTTTAAAAATGCAGACTAAGTCAAATGTGATGAGGGAACTGTTTTGAGGAATCCTGAAGCAGGATTTTTCCTTTTTTCCCCTTTGCTATGCTGTCTGAAGCATATGTGGGCAATCTCCCATCCTTTCCTTGTCCAGAGAGGTTCCAAAGAACTGGTCTACTCACTTGTTCTTTGGTTTTGCCACAGTTGTCTCCCATGTGACGTATTTAGCTTGCCATGCCTCCACCGGAAGTCCCCCTGCCAGATGAAATTCCTTACAAGTTGGGACCCACAGCATACTCCTCCTGCTGGACCTGATGGGATGAGCAGATGTAATCAGGAAGAAGTGGTCCTCAAATAACCTGGTCCCGTGCCATGCAGGGCTTTAAAAGTCAAAACAAGCACCCTGAATTGCACCCAGAAGCAGACTGGAAGCCAATATAGCTTGCAGAGCATAGATGTAACATATGCCACACATCACCGTCCACGCAGCCACACTCTGCACCAGCTGAAGCTTCCGGATGCTCTTCAAGGGCAGCCCCACATACAGTGTGTTACAGTAATCCACTCTGGAGGTGACCAGGGCATGAATAACTGTAAGCAGAGCCTCATGGTCCAGGAAAGGGCACAATTGACGCACAACATGAAGCTGTGTAGAGGCCCTCTTAGCCACAACTGCCATCTGTTTCTTGAGCACGAGTCATGAGTCTAAAAGGACCCCCAGATTGTGCACCAGGTCTGTATGGGGTAGTGCAATCCCATCTACTACCAAAGATGGTAAAATCCCAGATCCAGAAGTCCCAAAATTCAGAACCATTCAGTCTTGCCAGGGTTCAGATGAAGCCTGTTGTTCCCTATCCAGACCCTCACAGCCTCCAGACATCGGGACACGACATCCACAGTATTGCTTAGTTTGCCAGGGGTAGAGAGATATAATTGAATATCATCAGCATACTGATGATACCTCACCCCATGGCGATGAATGATTTCACCCAGTGGCTTCATGTAAATGTTAAATAGGAGTGGAGAGAGTACCAAACCCTGAGCACCTCACATAGTGGGGGCTAAGGACAGGACCTCTCACTCCCAATCTTTATATATAAAAACAAAGTTAATATGTCAATAACTTCCCATGAAAAGGGAATCAGTATGAGTTTTTCCTCATTGTATCCAACTGGCATACTGTATATTTGCCTCAGCAAAGTGTTATTTCACTGTTTCTTCATGGTGTTTGTTACCTTTATCTGATTCCCCCATATCTGAGGCAGCCTTGAGTTCTCCTTTAGCTCTACCAGTGTTAAAAGTTGTGCTTTGTTACCCTAGTGTAGTCTTATAGACTTATTCTTTTATAAAAGAATTTTAAATCCTTTAGTACTGGTGAAGCACTTAGATATGCTAGACTTTCTCTGGACATCAAAAGCTATTTTAACTTTAGATAGTTAAAATAGCAAATCAACTTTGTTAAATCTGGCAAATGAAATTTATGTTACAATTCCTCAAATAATAATCCTAGTAATATATCCTCTGATTCTATTAATTTTGCTATAGTGAACACTACACATTCTGCCAAGGTTCTCCAACAGAAGGATTGGCTTACTATTTTCAGTTTGGATCCCAGTTCATTACCTGTGAGGATCATGCCATGCCTCATTAGTAACTAATGCAAGAGACAGAATTCCATATTTTCTAAGGGAGTTGGACCCAAATATTTTTCAACTTATAAGGGGTACCAAATAAGCCCTGATTGCTTTAATTATTTAATATTGATTTTATCTTAATATGGTTGCAAAATTTTGTCACCAAAATCCAAACTGTGTTCAAATGGACCTAAACAGAACAATCGATTGAAGGAGAGAATGGCGATCATAAAGAAGTAAAGAGATTACTAGGGGGCACTTGGTTACTGTTAACCAGTTCAAATTTCTAGGACCAAAACAATTATGTCTGAGAGTCTTGAATGAGTTTGTTGATGTAATTTCAGAACCCCATTCTATGCTCTTTAAGAAATAATGAAGTTCAGTGTCAAAGTATAAGCTAAGAGCACATTTTCCTATATTTCAAAGGTAGGTAACAGCAGACTGGTCAGCTTGATACTGATACTGAGCAATACTCTGGAACAGATTATTAGGTAATCAGTTTGTGAGCATTTAGAAAAAAATGCATTGTTTGGCAGGAACCAGCAAAGACTTATTCAGAATAAGTCTTGCCAAACTAGCCTGATCTTCCTGTTTGATAGAATGATCAGTTTAATTGATCACAGGAATGCAGTGAACATAATGTATCTTGACTTTAGCAAAGCATTAAACAGTCTCCCACGTGATTCTAATAGACCAGTTGGGAAAATTTGGGCTAGACTATGCAGACGGATTCAGAGCTGGTTGAACTATCATACCCAATAAGTGTACATTAATGGATTTGTATAAACCTGAAAGGAAGGGATAAGTGGTATACAGTACAACAAGGCTCTGTTCTAAGGCCTGTATTGTTCAACACATTTATAAATGACTTGGATTTGGAACTGGAAAATATAATTAAGAGTTTTTCATGAATTAACCTGGAGATAAGGGGATGAAGCTTCATCTCGAAGGACAGTATGAAGATTCAGGAGGATCTTGGTAAACTGGAAAAATGGGCAGAAAAATGGCAAGATGATTTTCAATTTGCCCTTACATATACAAAGTTCTACATTTGGGTATGAGAATCAAAGCCATAGGAATAGAATGGGGTGACGTACTGGGCAGAAGTCACGCAAAAAGGATCAGAATGTCTTGGTGGATCAAAAGCTGAACATGAACCAATGGTGTGAGGCAGTTACAAAAAAAGCAGATTTAATGCTGGCCTGTATCCACAGAAGTCTATGTCAAGATCAAAAGAAATAATTGTTCCTCTCTACAGTATTCTGCACTGGTCAACTGAATGCACCTAGAATATTGCAACCAATTCTGGACACATTTTGGAACTCTGAACAATCCTGGCCCATCTTCCACATGACGGCCCATCAGATATGTGGAAACAGATATAATAGCTGTTTCCACATATCTGATGGGCGGTCATGTCAAGGAAGGGGAAAGGCAGCTGGGGAAGGTCTTTACGAGGGGCACGCTTGCGCCATGGTGTGGGCGGAGAGGAGGTAGAGGACGGTAGAGGACAAGGATTGAACCTTCTGGCACCAGGTGAGGAGGGGACATTGACAGAAGGAAACATGTCCAGAGAACAGAAACCAAGATGACAAGGAGTTTGAAAGGAAAAACTTACAAGGAACAGTTGGAGCCATTTGGTATTTTTAGCCTATAGAAAAGAAGACTCCACTGAGATATAATAGCTGTTTCCACATATCTGATGGGCCGTCATGTGGAAGATGGGCCAGGATTGTTCAGAGTTTTTCCAGGAGAGAGGAAAAGAAATAACAGGTTTAAATGAAAAGGAGGTAGGTTTCAACTGGGCATCGGGGAAAAATGTAATGGTATGAGCTGCTCAGCAGAGGAACAGACTGCCTGGGTAGGGGGACTGTCTCATTGGAGCACCTAAACAGAGGCTGAACAGCCATCTGTACCGTGGAACAGAGCTGGAAACAGCTTTCATCCACATAGACTATTTTCTCTCTAGGTACTGCTAGTGTACATAGATCAAGCCTGCTTGCTGCATCACACCAGTGGTGGTTGTTTGACCCTGTGAATTGCTAGAGAAGAAATGGCCAAAGGAAGGGGAAAGGCAGCTGGGGAAGGTCTTTACGAGGGGCACGCTTGCGCCATGGTGTGGGCGGAGAGGAGGTAGAGGACGGTAGAGGACAAGGATTGAACCTTCGGGAAGGTCTTTACGAGGGGCACGCTTGCGCCATGGTGTGGGCGGAGAGGAGGTAGAGGACGGTAGAGGACAAGGATTGAACCTTCTGGCACCAGGTGAGGAGGGGAAGCCCATCCGCCCCCCCACTCTTAAATAACCAGCTGGCCTCAGCTATGCCAGGAGAAGAGCTCACATCTGCAGCAGCCTGTTTCTCAAGTGTGAGGGAAGAAAGCGACAAGCACGTGGAGCGCTCCAGCTGGCGCACCCTCAGCCTGTGGGAGGGAGAGCACCTTTGTCGCGGGGAGGGCCGGGGACGCCTGCACAAGTGAAGGACGCGAGCCTGGCTTCCCACCTCGCTGGGAAAAGGGGAACTGATGAAGCGCAAGACCGCTGAGGCACAGAGGAAGCCACAGAGCGCGCGAGCGGGGGAAGGGCAGGCGCTGGAGCGGCTCCCTCCTCGTTCGAGGGGTGGGGCGGCGGCCGCAGCTGCGGGG